TTAGTTCATCATTCGAGTTAGGACTAACTAGCAATCATTTTATTTCATCGTTTAGTCAAGACTAACTAGCGATCATTTTATTTCATCATTCAGGCAAGACTGCCTAGCAAGTATTTTATTTCATTATTCAATTAGGATCGACTAATGATCCTTTCATTTTATCATTCGAGCGAGCTTGTCTAGCAATAATTTTATTTCATCATTCGATCGGGATCGACTAGCGATCCTTTCTTTTCATTATTCGATCAAGACTAAACAATGATCCTTTTGTTTCATCATTCGGGCAAAACTATCAAGCGATTATTTTATTTCATTGTTTAGTCGGGATTGACTAGCGATCACCTCATTTCATCATTCAATCGGGATAAACTAACAAGCCTTTTATTTCATTGCTTAGGTCGGCTCGCTCTAGCGATCATTTTATTCCATCATCCAACCAAGACTAACTAGCGATCATTTCATTCCATCATTCATTCGGGACTAACTAGCATTCATTTCATTTTATCATTAAGTTAGAACTAACCAGTGATCATTTAATTTCATCATTCGGACATCACCGCCTAGTGATCATTTGGTTTCTTCTTTCGGTAAGATTGCCTAATGATCACTTTATATCAAGCAAGATCACCAAATAATAGGCCAATAGTAGATTAATTTATTTTATCATCTTTTTCTTTCTTTTTTTTACAAGCTTACTATGCAAAGCTAATAAAAAATCACTTTTCTATTGACTTTATATCATAAGCATTGTAAAAAGAGACATGTCTCATAACCTATTTTTTACCCTACATAAATTTTTATCTTATATAAAATTCAAAAACTTCAAAACAAATTGCATGTTGCATTAGTTTTTAGATTTTCTATAATTTTTAGGATGTAAACTCTTTAGAATTATCCTTAAAAAAAAAAAAGCAAGGAAATTTTGAAAAATGAAAAAGGGAATCAAATTTAGTTTAATGGAAATGACCTAATTGGAGAATAATCTAGAACTTGTGAGGATTAATTTATAAACATTAGAATGAAAAAAGAGACTAAAATATCTTACATCGAGGAACTTAATTGTAGAAAAATTAGAGAGTAACATGACTAAAATAGAAGAAGATCACATATAGAGGGACCATTTTCAACCCGTCAAAATCTATAAAAAAAAAAAAAAACCATACCTCCTCTCCCTCTCCTAACCTTGTTGGCATCTTAATCCACACCCTTACCTCATGCATCAACCTTATCTCTCCAACACCCAAAACAAAAACACAAGACAACAAAATTTATCTTTAGCATCCCTTAATTTTCTCCACTTCTAACCTTGCAAGGACAATACACAAAAGACTAAAAGAGCATGCAAAAGAGAGAGAATAAGGGGACAAGGTGGAGTATCCTATACTCATCAAAAGAGAAGGGATGAGATTAAGAGAAGAAGATCTAAAGATGAAGAATGAAGCTAAGATAAAATAAAAACCAAGAGAAAGAAAAAAGAAAAAGAGGGAGTAGCATTTTTTAAGGGTAGCTTGATTTTTAGGAGAGAGAAAGAGTGAGAGCAAGAGCAAAAAAAAAAAAAAAAAGGGTTTATAGAAGAAAAAGAACAGACTTGGAGAGGAAAAAGGAAGAACAAATGAAAAAAATGGAGAAAACACCATCCAAGCATCTTGACAAGTTTAGAAACAAATAAATCTATCAACTCCAACCTTCTTAACCATTTTTAAACTTTAATAAGTAATCCTTTACTCTTGTTACTTCATTCTTTATCAATCTTAATAGGTAAAAATGCATTTGGATATCCATTGATACTAATAGATCTCATGATCAACCTAAACCCTAATGAATATGAATGCTAGATGTGTTTTATGTGTTTGGCACATCTCTAAATGTTTTTAGCTTCTAATTTATTTTTATAGAAACACCATTTACTTGTCTCCAAATCATATGTAAAATTTAGATCATTTTTATTTATGATGGATTCACATTTAAATCATCTTGTTAGTCACTATAATAAGCAGTCATTCAAATAAAAAAATATCAACTTCCATGTCTTAAATGTTTGGCATGGCCTTGTGTGTTTTTATATTCTAATTTTTTTAAGAACACTATCTATTTGTTTATAATCCATTGTGGAATTTTAGATCTTTATAATATATGATGGTTTTTCATTTAAGTCTGTTTGGTTAGCTATTGTGGTACCGATTTTTCAAGTCGAAGTCAACTATTGTTGTGTGTTATGTGTTTAGTATAGCCCTAGATGCTTTTAGTTTCTGATTTTTTTATATGAATACCATCCATCCGTGACATTTCAAATCTTTATGACATAGTATGACTAGTCATTTTTTGTTTATGGCAACATTGATTTCTCAAGTTGAAAATAACTAATGTTATGTTTTGTATGTTTGAGGTAGCCCTAGATATTTTTATCTTCTAATTTTTTTTTTTGTATGAACATCATCTATTTGTCTTTAATCTTTGTGAAATTTTAGATTTTTAGGACATAGGATGTTTTCCATTTAAATCATCTTGTCTGCTAGAACAACAATAACTTGTCATATTGAAATTGGTTGCTATGGTATTTTACATGTTTGACATGTCCTCGAATGTTTTTATATTTTGATTTTTTTTTCACATGAGCATCCGTTATCCGTTCTTAAGTTGGGTTAAAAATTTCAGAATTTGAAGATGTGTGTTGGCATTTTATTTAAATTTATTTTGATTATTCGCTGCATTTATCAAGTAGGATATGAAATTATCGAGTCTTTTAGATTTTAAAGACCATTGAAGATTTTATATAGAATCTTCGATATAATTAATAAAAGGTTTCTCATTTTATGTTAATTAGGAAAATTAACTTGAGTTAACAAATCTCTTATTTAATAGAGATGGACGTCGATCTTGATACCTTAATAAAACAATTAAAAAAAAAAAGAAACAAAAGGAAGATAATTAGCTAGGATAGATACAAGTCAATTTAACGCCCTTAACTAATTAGATTGTTCCTTGACATATCATTTGTATCGGGACATAATTGGATTCGATGCTAAATTGATAAGACTCCCAATCTTGGGATCCGATGTCAATTTAATACAATTTCATAATAAAAATAAAAAATAAAAAAACCAACTTGATCTAAATGATAAAAAAAGCTTGGAAATAGATTTAGAAATAGTTTGCCAAACATAAATTTTAGGAGATATTTTTAAAATTGGACTAAATCCGATACTTTTTCTTAAAAAGAGTGTTTTGAGTGATTATTATCTTCTCAAAGTCATAACCAACTTCTTATCCGAAATTTCGAATCTAATGTCTTTCTTAGATTTCATAGTTCCTTTAACCAACTTCTTATTTGAAATTTCCGAATCTAGTGTCTTTCTTAGATTTCATAGTTCCTTACAATACTAGACGATAGCTCTAAAACCTTTTAATTTTGTTTCCTTAGTCAAACATTCATAAATCTCATAATATCATGTAACGGCAAATAATATACATATATCACAAATATTTTAAAAATTAAAAATTATTTAAAGTATGCATATCACACAAAATGCTTAAAAATATTTTAAGGTTGTATAAAAACTGAAATTAATCTTAGAGAATTAAAAAACGTAAATATATTAATAACAAAAAAAAAAAAAAAGGCCAAGCTAAAGGACGTATGGGCTCAACGCATCCGGGCTAAAGAAGCCTAACTCAAGTGATCCAAAAAAAAATAATAAACAAACATGCAAAGATGACGCGTCGTCCATTGTAAATTACTCTAATGACTAGAGGATTGTCGAGAAATAAAGGGTCAACAATTTTGACCAACAAAACCCAATTTGTTTTTCGTTTTTCACCCTAAATGTCTGTAAACGATCCAAAGGCTTCTAAAGAGCCATTTATAACCTTAAAATGCATTTTAATCAATGAAAAATATCTCAAAAACTGATTTAAAATTAAGAATTCATTTATATTTTCGAATTCTGATATCCATGACCATCTTCAATAAACACCCTTCATCATGACAAGTCCATTGACGCCGCCAACAAAACTTTTTTGTGGTTCTCTCTCCTTCATCTGGCCTATCATTCTCTATACACAAAGGGATTGAAACGAGATGAAAATAAAGTATGAGCACCGTAATGCAACTAGTAAAAAATAGGAGCACCTAATTGTAAAATTGGTCAATACCCAACCTTTATTGACCCTTAAAAAGCACAAAAATTACAAAAACATCATAAACAGGGCTAGTCAGTCTAGGTGAATAGACAATGGTGCAGGAATAGCACCGTGAACAGTGATGGCCCTATTAGTTTATTTGTAAAGTAATTGTTGAATGGCACGAGATGTGAATTGTTCAAAGTTTCCAGTAGATTCAGCAGCCACTAGCTTTTTATTTTATAAGCAAATCTGCTGTACCATGTTGTATTTGTCATTTATGCACACAAGATCAGAAGAATTATAGGTTCGAACGATTCAATCCTTTTAACCAAAAAAGAAAATTCATAAAGAAGAGATCAACTGGAACTCAACTACAGCAAGGAGATGATGAAGATCAGCTCACCAGAACCAACAGTAACGTTTTGACTAGTTCCAAGTCTGGTGTGTAGGTGTGTGCTTGTGTGTGTATCACTGCATTCATAGTGAAGAAAGCATCTTAAATTATCAGAATAATCAAGGTCTAATGTAGCCCATGAGTGAAATAATTTGAAAATCTTTGTTTATTAAAATACACTTTAGCATCAGGGTTTAAAGAATGGGATGAAGCTCTGTTCTCTTTACTGGTGGATGGACAAACAATGAGCTGTAAGCATTCTATATTGTGTGCCTTTCTTCTACAGAACTGGATAGCAGAAACTTCTCAAGCTATCCCTTTGGATCTCTTTTCCTTGTTCCAAGACATTTGAATTTCGGTTAATGATGAACACATTTGGCGGAGGTAAAAAGTTGCCTGAACCTTTATACTATATCTGAAGAAATAAATTAAAGAACCGATCAAAAGAAATATCTGATACGTATATCATCAGCATGCCATATTATCATGCCACAGCATCAGCCTGTCGTCTAGTCAATCGTGCATACAAGCCATCTTGATGGAGAAGTTCCGAGTGACTGCCCATCTGCATGATGAAAAAGAAACAATAATACTAGGGATACTTGATACTTTTTTCACTAAATTTTGTACTAAATAAACACCAGTAGGATTGTGAAGAAGTAAAGAACAGTATATGGAACCAAATAAATGCCCTGAAAATTAAAATTGTCTGGTTAGCAAGGAAGTATCTAGAAACCTAAATGCTTTTTTTATCATCCACTTTATTAATCCCAGTCTCGAATCTCAAGTGTACGCTATGAAAATTTAACTCAAAATCTAGAAGAAAAGAAGATGCAATTTATCCCCGCTTCACAATCAGCAGCAAATATGCCCTGAATATTATTGGTCATAAGTTATTGTTGCATAAAAAATGTCCTCCTGTGGAACAAGGGGCAACTAGCCCTCCAATGCCAACTTTTTCTCAGAAAAAGAACATGAAAAAGACTGCAGTGGCATCGAGAAATTATGGGATAAATGCCTTCAAGGCTCTTACCTGAGGGACAAGTTAAATACATCTTTTTATTTGTGCCCAAATAATAGCTTTAGTAATGCAGAAAAACGGAAGAAAAGATATAGTTAAATAAGTTCGTAAAGAAAAAAAATCCAATTTCCAAAATTAATGATGGAGTTAATATTTAGGAATTCAGATGGAAATGAAAGAGCACCAACCTCAACAACTTGACCACCGTCCATTACCACTATCCGGTCAGCAGCTTGAATGGTGGAGAGCCTGCGGAAAGAATACACTCAAACTTCAACTCTCAATTAAGATACTTGAAAGTGGGTGCAGCAGACCAGACCTACCTGTGAGCAATTACAATTACAGTTCTCTTCGCTGTTATTTCACTTCTAACAGCACGAAGTACACCCTGCAAGCAAATGGCAGAATGAAGACCACAAGTTATGACTTTACATATTCCACTCTTTTCTCTATCTACCTTTTCTCTTTTCCCTTTTGTTTTGGTTTGTTGGGCCTAGATTATTCCAAAAGAAGATACCTTAACATTGTGCTCGCTCTCTGCATCCAATTGACTAGTGGCTTCATCAAGAATCAAAATGGCAGGGTCCCGAAGAATAGCACGAGCAATGGCAATTCGCTGCTTCTGACCCCCACTTAGCAAATCATCATCAACAAGTGTTTTGTAACCATTGGGAAGAGATGAAATAAACTCATGAGCGTATGCTTGCTTGGCAGCCCACTCAACATCTTCCTGCATTATATCTCGTGTACATCCATATCTAATGTTTGAACTGATATCCATGCGGAATAGCTTTGGTTCCTGTTTAAAAATATTCATAGTAAGGAGGAAATTCTTTGAATTTACTGGAAATTATTCATGCTAGATGTTGATGAAGTACCTGCCCAACATATCCAATTTGTTCCCTTAACCACTTGATGTCCAACTCTCTTAGAGAAAAGCCATCAACTAAAATCTGCAAGAGAAGTAACAATTACAAAAGAGATTCATATAAATCAATGAATGCAGGATTATCATATGCCAACAGTTCCATTACAATCTTCAAGAGGGAAGCAACCAACATAATTTAAAATCAAATGATAATTGCCCATGTTTAATGCACAACTCTTGAATGAACCCAAACTATATTTGAGTAAAGAACAGGGGAAATAATTTTATAGCCAAGTTTCCTTTTCAAATACAAGAAAAAGAAAAAAAAAAGGACAAAAGGAATCATGTGCAGCCTTTGATAGAAACATAAGTAACATGATAAACATTATATGAAACTTTTGACTCTAATGCAGGATGGGTTCCTCAAGTATTTTTGAGGTGAATTCTCTTGCTTATCGTTCTTCAATCTCAAAATACCAAAAAAAAGGAAAAAAAAAAATCCTTCTACAATCTCTATTATACAGCAACTATCACCAAGCACGATGTGGAGGATAAACTAATTGCAAGTCAAAGTTGAGAACCATGTGCAAGTTATGCCGATCACTAATGGTTCCTGAAATATCCCTACGGCTAAAATCAATTTCAATGTGCTATCCATGCAAACTGGAGGCTTTTATGTACCATGTTAGAATATGCTTCCACTTTGACATAACAAAATTCAAGGTCAAGTTTTCCCAGCGCTTTAGAAGGATATGGTACAAGCAGGAAGACATCTCCAAATTATTTGCAACTTTATATTGTTTAATTTTATCGTTATTTAGGAAGTTTTCTATTTGTAATAAATTGTCGGAATTGATCGCCGTATTTCTCCAAATAAAGGAAAGGAAATGAAAGATGAAACATAAATCATGGATCAATTAAGCACTCTCCGAGACTTGCATCAGAATAAGAAAGAGGTAAAAATACCATCAAATAAGGTTTGATTCTATTTATGGGAATCCCATAAATATTTCATTCCAACGATATGAGAGAAAGAGAGAGAGAGAGAGAGAGAGTTGGAAACAATTGGGACTTTTTTTTGGAGATTAGATGCACTTGCTCATTAAATAAGACTTTAATGCTGCTTGGAACTTATTTGTTTAGAATTTATCCACGGTTTTGGTTAGGACTTAGGGCTTTGGTGTAACCAAATGAGCACAATCTTCAATATTCAGGGGGATCTATTTTTATGATCAATGGAGACAGGTGGGTGGTGTGGGGTGTGGTTAAAGAGGTGGGTTTCTCTTGCTTATCCCTCTACATCAGGAAGGGGCAAAGGACCCTTGACAATTTTTGATCTTTTCCATCAACAGTCTTATACTTGGTTATGTGAAAGCTGCTCCGAATAATTAATCTACTATTCAGCGACTGAGATCTAAATGACTTCAAAGGAGAACATAGCACAGTATATAAAATTTCACCTTAATTTGTACATGTTCTTCTAAGTTGATTATTCAATTCTAAAGCACCAAATCCTTCCATCTCAGACAATAATAGTTGTTGAAGTCTCACCATATGTAAAAAATTTTACCTGACCATTTGCTGGCTCATAAAGACGAAGCAGCAGATTCACTAGTGTGCTTTTCCCACTGCCACTAAGACCAACCTAAGAGAAATTAGACAAGCAAATTAGTCTTAATGCTCATCATTGAAGTAGGACTGGAATCAAAGAAACAGCATTCTTACAATTGCAAGCACTTCACCAGGATGCACTGAAATGTTTATGTGTTGCAGTACAGGAACCTGTTCAAATACCTAAATGATCATTTTATTTTAAAGCAGTATGATGACAAACTTCAGAAAATTAGAAATCAGCATAAAAAAAGTAAATGTGACATCTAAAAATCTCTCCACGTTGTTTCCTGTTATATTCACCCATAGCCATACAGTTCCTAGAAGTACTTTCTTAATGGAAGCATTCAATACAATATAGGGGATGGAACTACTATACAATTACAGTTTTAGCACCATTTACAGTCATTGAGGAGTGAAGCAGGAAAGGGTATATCTTAAGGGAAAAATGGGTCTGGAATGAGGAGGCAGAAGCATAATTGATGCTGAAGGTAAGAAACATACCAACTCTCTTGAAGGATAATAGAAAGACACATTTACGAACTCTATACGTCCCATCAGCCTTTGCAACTTTAATCCTGTAAAGAAGTATAAACTAAAAAATAAAACTAATATAACTGGAAGCAACTTTAATCCTGTATAGAAGCAAAATCTAAGAACTCAAAACTTTATAACTGGTTCACCATTAAATAATACATGCAAGGAAGTTCTCTACTGAATGCAATCCATTGGCTGCCAAAGTGACAAACTTTCTTTATGTTCTACTGTATTAGATATTGCTGAAAACTGAAAAACTACAGGTGTACAACTACGATACACCTTCGCAGATTATATTTCAAGGCAGTCTCTAAGGCTCCATTGGTCAAAGATCAAGAGTTATTTCATCAGCCCAACTCTGGACAATGGTTCACCCAACCCAAAGTGCCTAGTTGAAAAAAACCCCTCAAATCATGATAGAATGCCTGCAGGGTCTGCATTGAAAATTTCCCCAGACATTGTAGAATGTCAGCAGTGTCAACTAAGAAACACTGAATTAATGCATTGTCCTCCAAATCTTGATCCTCAATTTGGAAACCATTGACGCTTCAAATTCATAGGGGGAAGTTAGAAAGTATCTTAATGCTGCAATCTCCTAAGAGATGAATTTCATCCATGAATCCAAAAGAGCACAAAAGAGGAACAAATCAAAATAAAAGAATATAATTATGCAAGATCCTATCAAAGTTCAAAACCGCTTGCCTTTTGATAAAAATTGGTCACTTGGCAAGAGATCCATCAATTGGAAGACCTTTTCGCTTGCCCCAATGGATTGCATCAGAGATGATAAATTATCCCCTACCCACCATGTAGAATATAGCAGCCATTCGCTGTATAATATAAACTTTGTAAGTTGCTCCGCTGTAATATGACCAGCCAGAATAGACATTCCTCCTACTATCACCGCGACAACCTAAAACATTAAATATGCCAAAATAAGCAGGGGAGAGACTAAAACCAGGCCACAAAGTTTAGGTCTTGTAATACTTTCTAGGTCAAGTAAATTAACTTTCATATTGAATCTTTGAACATCTTACTAAAAATTTTCATGAAACCACTCAAGTTCAATAGTTAGAAGATAGTTGTTTGAAAAATTGACAAGATCTTTTTTAAGAAAAAGGACCTGAGTTGAGTGATGAAGTGTGTTGAAATTCAAAATCCAAAATCCATATGCAGCACTTTGTCGTAAGCTTATATCAGCCAATTTCTCCAGCCAAAGCTTGTACCTAGGACCATAGATATAAAACGTCTTTCTGCCAGAACCAATTTAACTGCAAAAAAAGCATGCAAACCTGATGGCAATTTTTGCCATTTTCTGGGAGGCATACCAAAAGCAGACGTGCTCGAGCATGAAAAGGACTCAAAAGCAAATCTTACCTTCTAAGTTCAACTTTTTCTGTTCCATAAATACGAACTGTCCTCATTGAAGAGAATGTCTCTTGTGCCACCTACATAAAAATAATGCAAACCTGTTTTTTCTGATATCATTACGAAGAAAATTCTTCAATAACTAAAGGATAAGTTGTTTTGTTCTACATCGTTAGCAGAAGCAGTGAACTCTTGGGTCAACTTTGCTGCCTTCTTCTGGTACCTAACAGACAAGAAAACCAAGCAATAACCAGCGGTATTCAAAAATAAATCCATGCACAGACAAGGGGGTATGATACAAATTAAAATAATTGATCTTTAAATTTGTGTGCATCAGCATGTTGAAGTCAATATCAAGTCTAGAGTAAAAAAACACGTCATGTTTGTAGCAAAACATCAACCCTTTAGCTTGCTAAGGCTATCACTCAACCTTTCTTTATTAATTGACCTTAACTTGAACCACATGACTCCTAATTAAATCAGCCATTGCTCATGTGCAATTTTGTCATTTGACTTATCATGTTGTGCACCTACCAGACATCCTCATTTCAATCAACTCCAGTTTATGAACAACCACTTTCAGTAAGTCAATCTCAAGATTATGGGAAAAAATCAAAAGGAAAGGTACTAAATCTTACTGGCCATAGATCAGCATCACTGCTGCTAAAGTTGCGCATATCAACAAAGTGAATAAACCAAGTTGCCAGGACAAAATTATCAAGTAGATCAAGGCACCTGTACCCTAGAATAGAGCAAACAGAAACACAAGTTCAATCATCATATTGTAAACTAACTAATAAACACTGATTATTTAATCAGAAAATAACCTGTAGGACATTGCGTAAGATCAAATTAAGATCATAGCCAATAACACGAGACACTTGCTGACAGTCTGACCCAAGCCTACTTGTCAAATCACCAACTGTTTCATTGTCAAAAAATGATATATCCTACAATAGATAAATCACCATTATATGTTAATCCATAAACCATGATATCCAAAAAATTACAGCCTGCAATCGTGTAGAGGATGTGCAAAGCAGCAATGATGATCAGATTATAACAAACCTGAAGGAGAAGAGCAGAATATAATGTTTCCCTCATTCGCTTCACCTACAAAATATTACACAACTAAGTTAGCGGGATAGTTCATGGGAAATAGTGATTTTCACAAAACAGCTCTCGTCTAGTAGTATCTTGAAGAACTGAAGTCTAAACATTTTCTTTGCGCAAAGCATGCAGCTTTAATTGTATTATGGAATTAACAACAAAATGAACACTATCATAACATTACATCTTAGAGGACCAAAAAACGAAAGGTTAGTTTATAAACCGAAGAAGTTAACCGCCGGGAAATGACTTACCAGGATCATATTTGCAATGCCAAAACAACAACCCCGTATTCCGCTGAAGTTCAAATAAACAAAGCAAATGGTCAGTAGCTGTCGAAATGAAAGCTCAATGTAGCAAAATTTTGCATTAACTATCAATCAATCTAACAAATGGTCATGCTTTATTAGCTTGCAAGTTAAAGGAGAAGGGAGTTTTGACCATACAAGATTTTAACCTGCAAATTCCAGCTAAAACAGAGAGGGCAACCAAGAGACGCACATTTCGATGGAATACTGCAACGCTAGCACTCTGGGCCGAAAAGATGGATGCCGTCAAGTAATGTGGTATTGAGATTTCCGAAAGCTGAGCCAATCACAAGCAAAAGTACAAGCACAAATTAAGTACCCCACTAGTTAAAATTAATTAATTTCAAGAAAATCACACGCACCGCTGCAAAAATGAGGGCAGTAAAAGCGGCAAAAATGACCCAACGATCCTGAGCCACAAGGTGCCACATGCGAGTAAGGGCACGCCTCATGGTGACCGAGTTGGCCAAAATTTTAATCTCCACCTCATCAGAGAAGCTCCACCAGCTTCCACCAGGCAAAATTGAAGGAAGAAACTCGATAAATCTCCGAATCTTCTCGTGTAACTCAACACCTTCCTCTCTCTCTCCCTGCTGCTCACTGCCATTTACATAGCGCTGTTCTACGTTACCGCCATAGCCATTTACTGAAGAAGAAGATTTTGGAGGAGCTAGTCTATTACTACTATTATTAACATTCTGAAGAAGAAATTGAAATTTGGTATCGGTGTCCAAGCGCACGAGGTTCCTATTGGTATGGATTAGAAGACGCTGTTTGCGGTGGTGAGGCGAAGAGAGAAATCGAGGCTTTATTATGTTAACATTGCTACTGCAAATCAGCACACCCATGGATAGATTATGCAACTGTTATGTTGTTAGGTTCTCTGCTCGGCGATTGAAGAAATGGAGAAATTTGAGGAGCGCAGCGCTCTCTTCTCTTTTGCAACTTTGCGTAACCAAATTTGCTTGCTAAAGAAACAAAGTACGGATTGCTTGTGGGTCATGAGATTAGATCAGAATTAGATTAGAGTCGTGTGATAAAAAAATTAAGACGTGGACTGATGGGTTAATTACCAAGCCGGTAGCCCTTTAAAGCTGTTTTCCTTTTCTTTCGTCCACCGATTACGTCTTCTTTGATTTACCCATGAACCTCTGACCTGTGACCACCTCTGTTAAATTTGAAACGACTGTTGAATGTTGATTCACTGTCAACTAAGAACGGGTTTTTACCCTTTTCTCTTCCTTCATTTCCCGCCTTTTTAACGAAAATGCATAGTGATTGGGTCCAGAAGTTGTCGTGGAGCTAGAGAGCAGTTTTGTTTGTGAGTGCTGGATATTCTGGTGTCGTGGAGTTGCAGAAACCAGGAGAAAAAGAAAGGATTATATGCATGTGGTTGATAGAGCTTGATGCCTACTGATATAGTAGCATATGAATACAATCAGGCAGGTTTTGGTCAAAGGCAGTGGGGGCCAAATTGGGATGGCAATGGACCGGGTTCCCGGCCATTAAGCCAATCCAATACCCTACCCACTAAAAGTCTTTATATTCATTACCCACTAAAGTCATTTATCCATTTATTTACTCGGCCCATTTACCCCTTTTTTTATTTTATATATATTTTTTTCATTTTCTTTTTATTGAAGACTATTTTTTGTTACAAACTCTTTTATAAAAAAATAAAAATAAAATAGTATTGATCTGAATGTGGCTAGTAAATCAAACTTTAAAATATAATTTCTTATTCAAATATATATTTTCTCAAAAAAATTATGATTAATTGATTGATAATCATTAAAGAAGGATCCACTTGCCTCCTCTCCATGCAGCATTGCACTACTTCTCCAAATACCTCGGTTGAATTAAGCCCTCAATAATCCTCCAACCAAAATACATAATTGCATCAACATAAAAACATTATTAATAAGCTTCCACAAAGATCAGATTTCCTCTTAATTAAGATCATTTATTTAATTGTCTTTTTTTACCCTCTTTATTTCTAAGAGAAAACTAACAACAGAAATTAATAAAGATTCAAGTAGGAAATCAAGGGTAATGATGATTGTGATGATGATAATGATGGTGATGGTGGTATTGGTGGTTATATTGATAGTGGTGATAATAAAAGTAGTTAATATATAATAAATAAATAAAATATATTATTATTTTGAAGAAAAAAATTCATTTTCGTTCCTTATTTTTATTCTCATATTTTATATGGAAATAAAGTTGTGCATAAATTTTCATTTTTATTTCTACTTTTCATTAACATTTCATTTTTTTAACCAAACAACTACGATGTTGGAATAAAACTTTCATTCTCATTTTCATCACTCTATTCACGATTATCAAATAACATCTTAATGAATTGGACAGATACTCATTTTGCACCAATCCATTGCCATCCCTACATATGCCTATGGATCGAGTTTGGAATTTTGTATTTGGTGTTATTTCTTTATATTATTCATTTAACGAGTTATCTTTTAATTGGCATTTTACTGTTTCCATGTAAAATTACTTGATTTCCATCTGGTCTGATTTTGGGATCGATCCACAAATTAAAAACCATAATATAGTTCCCTGCATCAAAACTGAGCAGAAAGGCTATATTTTCAAGGAGTCATAATCAATCATGTTTTCTTTCCTAAACGATCAGCACTTTTTTATATTGTTATTATTATATATATATTAAAAACATACTGGAACTAAACTCTTCATGGTCTTGATGGAAAAGGAACACCAATAATCATAGCCTACAGGTTCATTGGCAAATGGCCATTATTTTAATCCAAGTAATTAAGCGATACCTGTATAAGAAATTGGCCACTTGCACGCGTATTTGGAAGCAAAACATCAGGTCAAGGACGCGAGGTACCAAAAATTTGGGCGATTTAGCTCCCTGGCAGCCATCAGCACGTGGTGATTTTTAAGTCAATTTAGACAGGGCATCGGAGCTGTTTTTAAAGATGTAGCTAGGATGATCTGGTTTTGGGATGTAACAAAGAGATTACCAAGGCACATGGGTATAGTTAGGGTATTGAAATCCAATTTTGCTAGAAATTCACATGTTATGTATTTAGTATCGATAGTTGTACAATTTCTTGGAATCAATTGCGGCATTTTCTACAAATACAGAACATGTTTACTAAAGTAGTCAGAAAAGTTACACAAGTAAATTTGTTTAGTGACTTCAGTTATTATTAGAATTTGATTGTTGTGCATTGTAATAATTAAATTCCATACAGTCTAATAAAAGATTAGATGTTTTGTGAAATAAAAAGTATATTGATATCAAAAAAAAAAAAAAAAAAAACTAAAACACATGAGTTGTTGATTGTTTATCTCATATTCATATACACTCAAAACACTATGGACTCGTGACTCACATGTATTATTTGGGTTTCTTTTCATGAATGTTGATCGTTCATTTGAGCCTTTTCGTGACCCAACTCGATTCAGTTCGCGCGATTGTTTGCTTTTTCTTTTAGATATGTTTTAAAATTTTGTTTCGATTCCTTTTTATTTTCGGTTGTATTTTTTGTCCCCCTTTCTATGAATCGGGTTGTTCTTTTGTTAATACATGACACATATGTGTTGTAGATTTTACTAATATGCATTTTTTTTTTTTTTTTGTAATTAATGGTCTTGGTTTGGTTTTTTATGAAAATATGTTTGTGTTTTGTACTCATCTCAACCCTTTATATTTAACTTAGAAATCCTAGCCCTCCATTTGTCATGTATAAGAAAAACCTTTTCTCTCTCATCACTACTTCCTACTTCCATTCTCATGCCATAGCCACAAGTGGGACAGTTAGTCGTAAGAGTTAGATCAAAATGAAAAAAAAAAAGAAAAAAAGAAAAAAGAAAGATATGAGAGCATGGGCGGATAGAAAAAGATGTGAATAGTATATGAAAACCAACTAAAAGTCCCTTGCCTTGCAAAGACTAGTGTAGTGATTTTTTGTTTGGCTTTGTGTTTTGGATATTTTTTTCGTTTATCCGATCCGGGTATTAGTTTTTTTAGTGAACTTGATTGCAATGATCATAAAATTATTCGGATTTATTATCTAATCATGGTAATAACATTCATGCAATTGAAGATAATCTGGTTATTTCTCCGTATGATGTTATAGTAGAGAAGATCGATATTGTAGATAGTCCAATTGATATGTCGAAGAAACCATTTTGGTTATCCAACTTCAAACATTACTTGGGTTTGATTTGTCTAACTAGCATTAGCATGAATTAAAGCTAAGGAGTTTGAAGGTCAAAGCAAGGATTCTTTAATGGAATTCAAGTTAACATGAAGATTTGAAAAATATCACTTGCATTTTTAAAATTGAATACATGTGTCTTATGTATATATTCATTATTATTAGTTAAGATTATTACTCAGTTTTGTTTAGCTTTGTTTATTTAGCAAAGCATCGATTAGATAGAACATTCATTATGGTTTACAAAGATTGAATGCACTTGACATTAGGATTGATTGTTCTCTAAACTTTGAACATCATAGTATCGGTGAAATTTACTTATCACTTATCTTTACTCGTAAATTTAGATACACTAGAATATTTCTTCTATTATTGTAATAATTCTCTCTATCAGATTATGCAATCCTAACAGTAATAATCCATAATGGAATAATATCAGAATCAAGCTATGTTTCTATATTTTCTTTTTTTAAGAAAAAAGAGAGAATTTTTGGGAATGTTGTAACATGCAATAGCAAAATCATCTCACGTGATCAGTTTAGTGTAATTCAAGAAATTTCAATTTTAATGAAAATAATATTTTTAACGAAACAATCATATCTAATTTTAAAAGAATTAAAAATTATTTAAAAATAATGTTTTACACTAATTTTTTATATAACTTGATGTGAAAATCAATGAGTGATAAAATATACATCGCATGAATTTTAAATCATTTGACTCCTTTAACATAACAAAAGGTAACTACGTATGTTTGATTGGAAATTTTATATAAAAAATTTATTTCTATAACGCTCATAGCTCTTTTCATCCTACATTTAAATTACAAACAACATTAAGTATATTACAATTATAAAAATCTTAAAGCTATTCATTTATTTTAATTAATTGACTAATAAATTTAATAAATATTTAACAATGCATTATAAAAATATATAAAATTTCAATAATAAATTTGGGTGCATTGGAGGGAAAAAAACGTTGAACATGCATGAGAGGGGAGCTCAATTCAGAATTCGATAAAGAACTAGGTTGAATTTATGGTCTAGTTACGAATGCTATGACATACAATAGCAAATTAATCTCACGTAAACAATTTAGTGTAATTCAAGAAATTTCAATTTGAATGAAAATAATTTTTTTAATGGAACAGTCGTATCTAATTTACAAAGAATTGAAAATGATTTACAAATAATTTCTTATACTAATTTTTTTATATAACTTGATGTGACAATCAATAAGTGATAAAATATACATCGTATGAATTTTAAATCATTCGATTTCTTTAACATAAAAAAAGGTAACTACGTATATTTGTTTGGAAATTTTATATAAAAATTTTATTTGTATAACACACGTAACTTTTTTCATCCTACATTTTAATTACAAACAACGTAAAGTATATTACAATTATAAAAATCTCAAAGCTACTCATTTATTTGAATTGATTGATTAATACATTTAATAAATGTTTAATAATGCATTATAAAAAATACAAAATTTCAATAATAAATTTGTGAGCATTAGAGGAAAAAAAAAGCTGAATGACCATGAGAAGGGAGCTCAGTTCAAAATTCTAGAAAGAACTAGGCTGAATTTCTGGTCTAGTTACGAATTTTATGCCATACAATAGC